AAAAAAGAATAGGAAGGTGACATGGAAAAGAAGGAAAAAACATAGTCACTATTTGAGGGCAAAATGATCACACATCTAGAAAATCCAGGATAATCCCTGGCAAATCATTACACCTTTTAAGAGTTTTATTTATTTACCAGAAAAAACATCCACAAAACATAAGACATCATATTGCAATGATCCATACTTATGTTTATAGTAACACAATTCATAATAGTTAAATCTTGGAACTAGCATATATGTCCATCAACAGATGAATGGATAAAGAAAATATGGTATTTACACACATGCAGTATTACTCTGCCATAAGCAAAGATTAACTTGACTCATTTGTAGAAAAATAGATGTATTTTGAGACCATGATATCAAGTGAAATAAATCAGAAAAATACTCTTAAATATTGCATAGTTTTTCTTATATGAGAAACCTAAATTATGAATAAACAGCAAAATAAAGAGAAGATAATAGGAAGTAGACAGATAGATCTTTCTCAAAGGGGATCAAAGAGGATCAAAAGATAGAGGAGGAGACGGGAGGAAAAGAGGGTTTTTAAAAAAGGAGCTGAGATGTGTTATATACATGTACCAACTCCTCACAAGGAATATAATTGTATTACTGCAAACACATACTAAAAAAATCCACAGTTAAAGGCAAACTTTCTTTGCATAGTAATAACCAATTAGAAAATAGGGTAGACAATTTTACTCACAGTAGGTGCAAAGTCTTATAATGTCAACAAGGATTGTTCAAAATTTACAAGAAAAAAAGTTTGATTTAGAGCCACAAAAGGGTCCTTCATTACATGGAGACACACAACACACACCTTAATGAAGAATCAGTATCATTTAGATGTCAGTTCGTCTTCAACTACATCTGTAAATTCAGTGGATTAATTTAATTTTCCCATTTTTTGCTCTTTAATTTTCAATTAAATCCCAACATGATATTCTTCTAATATTTTATTGTAAAAATTCAGTCATAAAGAAAAGTTGAACAAATTCTACATATTTTTTTACTGTACACTATTTAGCATCTCTTTACTCACCCACCAATTCATCATTTTAGCACATATTAAAGTTTCAGGTACAGTATACTTCACCCTTACATATTCAGTTCAGCTGGGTGTCACCAGATGATCATTAGTTAATCCACCGCAATTATGCTGCATTCAAGAAGTCAGATACACAAAAGCACTTCCTATAGGATTCATTTATACAAAATTTGAGTCAAGGCTAAACTAACTGATGGAAAAATCTCAGAAAAGTAGTGACCTCACAGTGAGAGAGGGGATGGGTGACAGATGCACAGCAGAAAGTGGGGTGACGCCCACAGTTCATGCTTAACACTGATCTGTTATATGCAGGGGCAGCCACCTAAGGCCTGAAGAATTGTTCCCTTCATGTTTGTGCATCCATGTAAATTTTCCTTTAAAAATTCTAAGCAAATATTGACTGACATTTAAATGAAATTCATCGTTAAATGAAATTTACATGTTATGATAGTTAAAAATGTGGGCATAGAAAAGGCAAGCAAATCAGCCAAACAGAATTTAAAAGTCTAGAAACAGAACAATGTGTTTAAATAAAAGTGAACATTTTAACAGTCTGCCCCACAGAGTGAACATGAATCTGAAACAAAAAAATTAAAAACAGAAATGAGCAAATCAGATATACCTGGGCCAAGATTTTCTCTGAACAGTGCAAAATGTAGGAACGGTAAAGAAAATATGGTATTTACACACATGGAGCATTACTCTGCCATAGGGAAAGATAAACTTGACTCATTTGTAGAAAAATAGATGTATTTTGAGACCATGATATCAAGTGAAATAAATCAGAAGTTTAAAACCATCTGCACAATGAAAAACAAAAATCCAAAAAGATAATCAACAGAGTAGAAAGAAAACATGTTCCAATTCTTTAAGTAAGAATAAGATAATTTCTAGAAAACTGAATCAGTGAAATTTAATGTGTTATGGGAAAGAAGAAATATTTAAAAAATTAAAAAGAAGAAGAAATATAAATGGTAGTTATATTTCCTTTAGTGTTAAACTTTACTCATAGCTAATAAATTACAGGTAAAAGGTCATCACTTAACAAAATGTTTTTCTAATTGAAAATAAAGACTGTTAACAAGAGCTCAAAGCACTCTTGCGTATCAGGTGTGCTCTAAAAATACAGTGAATATTTAAACTTTTAAAAATGTATTACAGTGAACAACATATTGCCATGAGTTCCCCTCAAAATCCTCCCCTCTGCTTCGAACACACTTCCCCATCAGCTGTGGGACTTTCTGAAGCAGCTCTGGAATCCTCTTCTGTGAGTGTCTTGAGTTGCTGTGTCATAGCTGCCTCTGTGCCCTGTCCTGAATGGATTTCAGACATTTACCTTTTGTGGTCAGTTTGACTTTGGGAAGAACCAGAACTCACACAGCATTCGATCCTATGAACAAGGTGGATGAGGACACACTGCAGTGTTTTTATGAGCTCCCTTTTCACTGAGTGGCACTTGGCAGCAGCATTCACCATAACTTTTTATCACATATCATACAGATATGTACTCACAAAGAGGACTTCTAGAACTTCTTCAGAAAGTGTCAAGAATGATGGCATAAGTGTGTCCAAGTAGAGCGAGAGTATGAGGGGGATTAATAGCAATTTTTTATTATAATAATTTCTTATTTAAACACACTCCATGTTTTTGAATTACTCCTTTTATTTTGTTTGTAAATGTGCACATTTCTTGGCCCACTAACACTTCTGTGTCTACAGAAACACCAAAATGCAAATATTGTGGCATTAAAAAAACAGAAATCATTAAATATTCACCAAGAAGAAAACAGTTAAACAAAATATGACATTCCCATACTACAGAATATTATTTGGCTCCTTAAAACATAAGATATTGTAGGCTAACATAGAAAACAATCTCCAGACTTTATTTTCAAAAGAGGATTATAAAATATTATACACGGTGTGACTCAAAACATGTAAAAATGATCCACATATAAGCACATGCACACACTTCTCAATCCAGAGAAAAATACCTTGAAGGCTGCATAACCATTTCCCAAAAGTAGATCTTATCCTACCAACTTTTCTATCTGGTTTAGATATATACGAGACTGTCTCACTTGTCTGATAAAATTTTGTTGAGAGAAAATGAAGAAAACAAATGACTGGCCTTTCCTCAGACTCTTGAATCTTAATAAACACAATTTATTTGCAGCATTTGTGAATCAGGTCTTGGTGGTCACCATCAGCGTCATACTGGCTTTCAGTCATGGAGCACCTCCTATCTGTCATATCTGATGCCCACCATGACCCTGCAGAGGAGATATGCTATCCCACTTCTTAGATAAGAAATCTGGGTCTCAGGGATATCACACAACAGTCCCAAACCTTATGGCAACAGAGTAGGGATCAGAGTCAGGACTGCCTTGTCCCAAAGTCTATCCTGGCTTCTTCCACACTGCATGGCTTTTCAACACACAGCAGGACCTTAGGGGTGCTCATACTCCTGCTGGGCACTAGAGCTCATCCACACTTGAGCTGGAACAACAGCACTCAGCTGTTTCCCTCCTTCTTCCTCTCCTCCTCTCCTCTCCTCCTCTTCCTCTTTCCCTTCCCCTCCCCTCTTCATTTCTTCTTTGTTGATTAGGATTTGAAAACAATAACTTCATTTGGATTCTGATAATTTTTATACAACCAGTCAGGAAGGGCAAACCACTACCCATGAGGAAAAGCTAAAGAAAGCATTACTGTGGCTAGTCCTCTTGGGAAAAGTGTTTGCAGTTCATCTGAAGGACAGTCCCCAGCACTGGTGTGGGAGTCAGGAGAGTGTCAGGGGGAGAGGACAGCAAGAACATGGGGCTTCTAGATGCGGGAACATCTGAGATCAAGCAAGTCTTCTCTGGACCTTGTAGTCTGCACTGTACATGCCAACAGTGAGTGCTTCCCCTACCTGCCCCTAGAGAGCTAAACTTTCCTCTAATTGTATGCCAGGCAAAGAGCCCCAGATCTTTTGTACTAAGACATACTTGATCCAGCCTACAGCCCAGATTTATTTGGTCTATGTTCCAATCTGTTGGGGTTACTGTAACAAAATGCCAGGGACTGGGGAATTTATAAACAATAGAAATCTAGGGGCTGGGGATTTAGCTCAGCGGCACAGCACCGGCCTGGCAAGCGCGAGGTCATGAGTTCGATTCCCGGTACCAGAAAAAAACCAAAAAAAAAAAAAAAAATAGAAATCTATTTCTCATAGTTTTGGAATCCACGATGGGGGTGGCAGCAGATTTGATGTCTGGTGAGGACCTGCTCTATGGATGGCATCTTCCAGCAGCATCCTCACGTGACAGAAAAGGAGGAAAAGACAGAACAGACAATCAGATTCCTTTCACAAGGATACTAATCCCAGGCACAAAGGTAGAGTCCTCCTGACATGATCATCACCCAAAAGCCACTGCTCTGCATAATGTTACTTTGGGAGTTAGGTTCCATTTTGAGAACTAGGGGGACAAATGTCCAGAGCAGAGACATCCAGGGGCACACCCAGCCTTCCATAGATGCATCACTGGCTTTTCTTCATGTGAAGCTCCCTGAAAAGATCTGCTCAGAATGGCCCTGCTCTGGTGGATGACCCCTGGATGACCCCTTGACAGGAGTCACATGTCTTGTGGACTTGGGGACTGAACCTCATCTGGAAGGCATCACACACTTGGGTTCAGCACATAATCCACCTTTCCAGCTTTTTTTGTGGTAGATTCCAGACACATAGTTTCAGTCTGAATGGGTAGGAAATACCCCTCACCCCACCCACTCCTGTTTTATTCATTTTCTTTTCTTTTTTGGAACAGAGTTTTTGTTTATTTATTTGCTTTTTGTTATTGCATATTTCTTTTTTTATACTTAAGTTCACTAGTACAATTTAGATATGCATAATGATCACATTCATCACAGGGAATTTCTACCTGTACAGGATATATCTGCATTCCTCTTTTTTTCAGTTTTCTAGAAATTATCTTATTCTTACTTAAAGAATTGGAACATGTTTTCTTTCTACTCTGTTGATTATCTTTTTGGATTTTTGTATGTAGCAGAACCTGGTTGGAACAGTCTCTGGAGGAGATCCGCACATCCCTCTGAGTTCCATGGCTTCCTCACCTCACAGGGGATGTTCTCACAGCCCAGTCCTGCTCTTCCTTTGGCCACGAGACTCACGAGATGACATGCATAATAAAAGATGGTCTTCTTTTTAGGCCCAAGAGGCCAAGATGTCTGGCTCCAAAAAAGTCCTGCTAATGTAAAGAGGATAAGTAATCATAGCTTCAACTACTTAATGCACATTTTAAAATAATTTCAAATGGGAATTTAAAAAAATATACAATAATATAAATAATATAATGGGAATTTATAAATAATATATTAGCATGATATTTTATTGCTATAGAATATATATTATGATAGTGTGTTATATGGTATATAAGATAGTGATGATTATTGTGGAAACGTCTCCTGAAGCTTCTGTTAGCAAATAGTACCAATCCGCATGTGCTGGCAGGAAATAAATGAATAGGGTCTGGATTGAATTAGAACCACAGGAGTTGATACCATTGCAATATCATGTGATACCATGGAGGCATCTCTTGTACATTACATACCCTGTCAGGTGACTGCAGGAATCTGATGCTCATGTTGGCACAACACGGAAATTTGCCAGTCTTTCTTAGGACAAATGAGTAGCTCTTTGTTTTATTTTTAATTTTTATTTTTATTAGCACATGTTTGTAGTTCATAGTGATTACGCTCATCTTTTTATACGCCCTTCCCCTCATGCTTCCCTGCATCCATCTCTTAGAACATTGTATGCAATTATTGATCTTTGTATGCAGGAGAATGAAGATACTGGATGGGACATATGCAGTAACCATGATATGAGGGGTGAAGGGGCTTCACAGAATCTCCTTCCTTTTCAGAGAGTGGATTGGCACTATGTGGGGAGTGGCCAGCACAGGGCAATGACGGGCTCATAAAATAAAGGGAGAAGCTAATTGCAGCCACTTGTGTGTCTTCCAGCTCTATGTGTAGGGATGCAGCTGCCTGGTCTATGGGAATTTTATCAGCCGCTCTAAGACCTCATGGATGTCCGGATACTCAGCTGACTGGCAGAGGATGACTAGACTAGCTGCTGTGGTGAAGAAGAGGTACAAAGCCCTGGTGGCTGACAGACCACATGTTCTACTGTGACCTGGTGTTCTGTGTGCTCACATGGTAGGGGTCAGGGGAGGAGCATGCTGGTGCCCGCATCATGTGCCTGAACTCTTACTCTGCAGTTTAGTTCAAGGACTGTCTAACTCCCAGAATCCAAGTATTTCATTCAGACCAATTTTTCTTACTTGGCCTCTATAATAGACTGACTTTTCCAAGAATAGCTCCAACTATGTGTACCAATCCCTGGGTTTACCCCAAGTGTGATGGTCAGACCCTCTGGCTGCTCTGTGTAACAGAGTGAAGTTGAAGGGACACTGTGCTGCTTGTGGGCCTTGTCCTTACCTGGAAGCTTTCTTTCTTCCTTGGACCCTGCATTAAGTTTGGTTATCCTGAGATATCATGCTGCGAGTCTTCCGCACTCCCCTGAGAGACCCTGGAGGAAGAGGAGATCCCCTACAGAAGAAGCAGCAAGAGACACAAGTCACCAGATATGAGAAGGAGGGAGCCAACTTGGGAGTGGATCTTCCAGACCCAGCCAGGTGAGCCTATGAAGGAGGCTTCCTACTAATCTCCTAGGCTTTGCTTTTTCTAAAAGAAGCACAGAATGCTTACCTGTGGCGTTTATAGAGAAACATGCCATGTTTGTTCCATTACCCTAAAACAAGACACTACCTTGAGAACTGAACTCCTATGACATATGTCTTGATCTTATAACAAAGATGCCCAGGCTTTCTGAACCATAACCCATGCTCATGGTTTGACAATTATAAATGCAACTAGAAAATGCAACTAAGTATTTGAAGTTGGTACTGCCCAAGAAAATATGGAAAACATGGGGGTTATGCTTAATATCTGCTGTGTTTTATGCACAAATTTTGGGCAACTTATGCATCCTCATGAAGCTCCCTTCCTCTGATATCCTCACCAGTAGAAAAAAATCCTATTTCCTCCACAGATAAAGGCAGTTAAATGAGATAATTGACATACAGTCATCAGAACACTTGGGTCATTATTGAAGTGTTCCATAAATATTGACTAATTATTATTTCTATCTCTTTTTATCCTTTTTATGCTGTCTTAAATATAGTAAATGTTCAACAAATAATTGTTAAGGGTAGTTAGTGTTGTTGATTGGAGTTTGGGGTTTATTATCTTTCTAGTCCTGTGTAAAAAAATTAGCATAAACTTAAAGGCTTCAAGAAATATCCTGCATTATCTCCTAGTTCTGTAGGTCAGAATTTCAGGAGATAAAACTGGAATATGTACTTAGGAACTCTCAAGCTGTTGGCTGAATTTGGCTCCTGTCTCAAGTCTCTGAGAAGAGGCTGTGTCTAAACTTATTCAGGTTGATAGCAGAATTCGGTTCTTTCCTGCTACCTGACATCCATTATCCAGGGACACTCTAGGGTCCTACAGGCCAATGGCATTCCTCATTTTGTGACTCTGTTTTCAAAGCCTATAATGGTCCTTTGAATATGTCTCACATTTGAACTCTGTCTAACTCTTGCTTTGAAAGGGCTTACATGGTTAGGGTAAGGCCCACCCAGATTATGTCCCTATCTGAACATCAACTGATTAGTAATTTTACCCATATTAGCAAAATACCTTTGCTGTTCAACTTAGTCATGGGAGCAACACTGGTGAAGAGAGTATGAGAGCCACCATATAATTCTGCCCACCACAACCCAAGCCTAGCCTTGTAATTCACATTCCTCTCACCTAAAACTTTTCCCATTCCCTCTCATGGTTTCCAATGGTCTCATCACATGACGACGTAATTAAAAATCCAAAATGTCACAAAAATCTCATCAGTTCAGAAGTCTAGATGACATCGCCTAATCATTAAACCCAGTGTGGACAAAGCTCCTGAGTGTAATCCAGGAGGATGCTCTTGGGGCACAATTTCTACCCACTTGTGGACCTATGACCCTGGACAGGAGGTATTGCTTCCAGTACTCTCAACTTACAGTGGCAGAGAGGATAACAGTTATGTACAGTCTGGTCCAAGAATGGAAGATAAAACAGTAGTCTATCCAACCAGCTTTACAAACCAGCTGAGCAAAATCCACTAAGTCTCAAGGCCTGGAAATCTGTGTCTCAGGGCCTGGGTCTCTGCCTCCATTCTCTGGGCTGGGGACTCAGTCCTCTGAGTCATACTCCATTTTCTGCAAAAAGTAATATGTGTTTGCAGCTGAATGATTTTATCAATATACAATCTTATCACTAGTGGAGGCTAAAGACCCAGACTGAACAGATCCCTGCAAACACTATTGTTGTCCTATATGTGCATACCTATGATAGAGGCAAACGTATAAATTAGACTCAGAAGGAGATTCACAGCACCAAATAATAAAATAGAACAACTGTAATAGCATACTATAACAAAAGTTATGTGAATGTGGTCTCTCACTCTTTGTGACTTTATCTCAAAATATCTATTTTTACCTTCTCAATAAAAGAAGCATTTACTGATTCTGTTTGGCACACCTGAATTGAAAACATCACTATTTTTGTGTTTGGGGGCCATTATAAATAAATAATGGTTACTTGAACACAGGCACTGATCACATGTCACCTGATCTAATAACTGACATACCTACTAAGTGACTAACAGGAGGGTAGCACATACAATGTGGATACTCTGAATAAAGGAATGATTCTTAGAGCAGATGGGACAGAATGGGTCATCAAAAGATTTCTTCACACTACTCAAAACAATATATGACTTAGAATTAATGAATTATGTACTTCCAGAATTTTCTATTTAATTTCAACCTGCAGTTGACCTCAGGTGACAGAAAGCATGGACAGCAAAATCACAAATAAGAGAGGACTAATGTATAAATCCCATTTAGTCAGAGCTGGCAGTATTTCTGCATGTATAATTTTTCAAATAAATTTGTGGACCATATATGTATTTTCACTGAGTTTTGTTCTAGTAGTCAAACATTTGTACATAGGAATCTTTTTTTAGTAATCCCTTCTCTATCTTTGGCTTTAACCAAGAGGACTGAAAAAGATACAATTTCCAGAGGCCCCCTGGTTTGACTGAATAATATCTATCTCTTATAGGCATCCTTTATGTAGCTGAATGCACTGAACCTTTGAGATTGCCAGAGTTTCCACAAAGAGCTAAACAGTCACATACCCAGTCTTCTCTCTGTGCTATACTTTTGTGCCTATTTAAGCTGCAGTCTCAGGAGAGGCCACTGCAGGTCTCCAGGTAAAAGTAGTCATCTCAGGCAGTGGGCTGGGCTGCTCCTTTATTGTATGGGACCTCATGAGATAACCCCTAGTCCAGTGACTGACAGAAGAACTGGTGGGGCTCAGTACTCAGTTACACTGGCTGCTATGGCTGATGACCTCAGAATGATGCAGAGCAGAATCAGCAAAGACTGAGGACAACCAGGACAACCAGGAGGAAGCTAGGAGTAGACTCTTGAGAGTCCTTTCCCAGAGCAGCCACCTAGGGCACCTTGAGCTCCCCCAGCACTGTGACATGTCAACCACCAGGGGAGCTCAGCCTTCAGGACCAGGGCTGTCATGCAGCTGGTCACATCCACAGACTCTCCTCAGCACAGGACACAGGAGAACAGGTCTCCACGTGGAAGAACAGGTCTCCACATACACCAGGGTGTTTGTATAAACAGGTTAGGCAGCGGGAATGAACTTTATCACTTACAGGGTGGCGGAACCCTCCCAAATCCAGGATCTCAGAAGCCCACCAAGGGTTGACCTTCAAGCAGGTTTACTCTAAGGAGAGCAGTCAGGTTTTGTTGACTCTCATGATGAAATTTAAGAATTTGAGGTCCTCAGCTTCATAGGTCCCTGTTCCAACTTTCAGGGTCCAATTCCTTCCCAATTGGTGCTCTAGTAATAAGAGAACTTGTAAGGGCAGAAATTTAATTTGCTCAATACATTTGCCATTATAAAAGAAGACACCAGGTTTGGTTGGTTGCTACAATTAGGGGGTACTTCTAGCATTTGGGAGGAAGAAAATGGAGATGCTAGACAGCCCACAGAAAGAATTGCTCCTCACTTCACATAACTTTTAAATGTCACTTAGATTTTCATGTAGATGGAGAAACATGTTTCTGACTATCTGAGGCCATAGCCTAACCCTTCACATGTAAATATAAGGGATACTCTTACATGACTCTAAAATACATTTGAATTTTCCAAGAATATATCTAGGGTGTAACATAAGAGGAAACTATTCTCTATTTTGCAAGGAACTTTACCAAGAGTAGTTCATTTCAGAAAATCACGTACCCCCTGTATACTTAACTTCTGCTGCCTAAAAAATCCCCCCAAATTCAGCAGCTTGAAGTGGTCCCCTCCTCAGCTCTCACAGCACCTGAGGGTCCGGAATTCAGAAAGAGCAGCTGGGCTCTGTCCTGTGGTGTCCAGGGCCTCTTCTGGGAGCCTTGAAGCACAGGCAAGTTTTTCCTGAAAGCCGTTACCATGTCACAGGTATGGTGGTGCATGCTGCCTGCTGGGTTTTGTCTGGAACACCAACATGTGGCCTGTTCCGGAGTCCTTGGCTTCCTTACAGCAAGGTCTCTAGGATCCAAGCATGAATGCTCAAGACAAGGGTGAACCCCTTCCAAGCCATCTGTCCCACTCTCCTCCACTCCCACCCTTGGCCGAAGCATAGATTGTTACTCCGTCCCTCTCTGAAATTGGCCTTCAGTGAGAAATTCAGGGTTTTCCCCCATCTCTCCCACCACCTGGATCAAGGGTGCTGCTTTTTCCCTCCTCCTCCCCTTTGTCGCACTGTTGCGCCCCCCAGCACGTCCCACGACCCTTCCTTCCTTTGGCCAGAAGCCATCAGGTAAGGTTGGAAAGAGTCTCTGACCTCCCTCATCTAGCTTTGGAACCACATTCCTTTATTCTCCACCAGCCTGGGAAATGAGTATCGGGTCCTGGCTCTGCCTCCTGCTGTCACCGTCAGCTGATGTCTTAGCTCAGGTGTGATGAGGTGAACAGAGCAGTCGCTAGGGTGGTGCAGACCTGCCAGCACCCCTCGTCCCTGGTGGGCATACCGGGAGCAAGGCCGCACAAGGACACTTGTAAGCACACGTGGTTCCTCTGGGTTGTTCCCTCTCCCCAGCCCACCTCACTTTGAAACATTGAAGAAGGTTTGCACGGGCTTTCATCCTGCCGCCCTTGCCTCCTTCTGGGTCTAGCATGCAGTCTGACAACTGGAACAGAAGAACCCAGCCTGGCACGGACTTTGGCTTTGGTGCTGCTGCTTCTTATGCTCAGCGGGGACTAAGGAGCGGCTCTGTGTGCCGCGGGTCCTGGGCTGGCGGCCTGGCCTCCTGGCACCTGCTACGTTTTCCCACTTGCTGTTCAGGACCACTAAATGCTGAAATGTGGATGCCTACCGAAATAAAGGCCATTCAGGGTGTTCTGAAAAAAAAAAAAAAAAAAAAAGATGGGGGTGGAAGCCATGTGACCTTTATGGTCCACCTTAGAGTACCCCAGAATCAGCTCCTTGCAGTTACAGAGATTCTCCTGGGGAAAGGCGTGGGACTGCCTCACCTCTTGGGGAGGGAAGTCAGCATTGCCCGTGAGAACAGTTTGTGGGCTTCAATATCCTTTGTATGTTTCATCACCTTTATCAAACACAAGGTACAATAGAAAATGCAGTGAATGTTTAAACTTAAAAATGTATCATGTAAATGTTGTACCGTGAGATCATAATATTAAGTGAAATAAATCAGGCACACAAGCTTAAATACTCATGATTTCTCTTATATGAGAGGCCAAAGTATAAATAAATTAAAGAGCAAAATAAAAGATAGTAGGAAACAGGGAGATCTTTTGCAAAAGAGGAGGAGACGCAGAGATGGAGGGAGGAGGAGGAAGGTGGTGAAAAAAAGAACTAAGCTGTGTCATGCATGGAGCAGCTCCCCACAAGGAATGTGATCGATCCGTACTGCAAATATGAACTCATAGAAATACAAAACTTTAAAGTTTATTGTAATAAAAGATACATTGTGAGAAATCTTCCTCAAAATATCTCCCTTGCTTTGAGCATACGTATCTCATTGTCCTTGCTACTTTCCTGGAAGTCCTTTTTCACGTCTTTATTTCTGCTGACATGGCTACCTCAGTATCCTGAATCAACTCAAAACTTTTACGTTTCAGGTCATTTTGACTTGGGGGAAGGTCCAGACAACTCCTGGTGCGAGATCTGGTGAATAAAGTGAATGAGGACACATGATAGTTTTTACGAGCCTGACTTTCCACTGAATGGCACTCTGCAGCAGCACTCATTGTATTTTTCTCACATCTTGTAGACACACTCACAAAAGATGATTCCAAAACTGCTTCAGAAAATGGCAAGAATGATGGGATAAGTGTGTGTGAAGTGAGAGGGAGCATTTTGAGGGATATTAATGTGCCTTTATCATAAATATTTTAAACCAGTCATTCACCCTGTATTTTGATCACACCGCATGCAATCTGCCCCAGCCCCCAAGCAAAAGCTCTGCTAAAGATTAGAAGTGGGGGAAGACCCATGTGAACTGAGAAAGAAAACAGAACTCTGTGCAGGGGTGCAAACCACTAAAGCAATAGCACAGCTGACTCTCCAGGGCTGTGGTAGTGATTGAAATCTCTTAAGATCTAGGGTCAACATTCAATGTTTATCTTGAAGGAAAGAGTCTTAGATGCCATGTGCTCTGTTTCAGCACTGAACACTCACTTGGCAATTAGTGTCTTTGTGTTTCTGAAATAATCACATTCATCCTCTTTTGGAAGCAGTGTGAAGAAAAGCCTATTTAGTTCGTAATTCTTGCTCTGTGCTCTGAGTCCTGGGAAAGAGTGTGTGTTTGTGTGTGTGGGGGGGAGAGAGAGAGAGAGAGAGAGAGAAAGAGAGAGAGAGAAATACAAAATAAGAACTGTGTCCAGTTGAGCAGTTGCTTGTGGTGTGGTTAAGTTGCTGTATAGCTGACTGCTGACCATACCAGTTGCCTCCCGCCCCTCCACTTTGCCCTTTGTGAAGTGGGTATGCTGCCCTGACTACCTCAGCCTGTGCCACCACATGGCACCCAGCTTCTCCTTGAGAACCAAGCTCACCACCAGGAGTTGCACAGAAAGCGTAAGTTTTCCAACTGTGAACCTGGAAACTTCTTCCTCTGTGCCAATGAACCAGGGTGGCCTGGGTAGGTTACCGTGAACAACAGCACTTCCCATCTCACCCAAACCCAGCAGGACGTGTTATCCTCTGAAGTTCACTCTGTGCACAGTAGGCATTCAATAAACACTTGTCAGTGGGAGGATCAGTGGGACAATGCAGAGCCTTAGCTGTTTCCTCACTTTCTGCCTTCCCCGAGCAGCAGAGCTAGGGCTGGCAGAGCTGCAGCCAGCCAAGGGCCTGTGCCTGCGGCAAGTCTCAGCAGGCCTAGCTCAGGCAGCCTTGCATTTCCACACCTTGGGATTACCATCAGACCCAGGCAGCACAGAGAAGCCAAACAACTGTATTCTCAGAGGCCTTGAACTGAATAAAGACTTCGTCCTCAAACTGTCTGTTTCCATCTTCAGGTGTGAGCTTGCATCATGCGCTACCTGAAATCAACATGCATTACAACAGCAGCTCCGGGAGCCAGCAGGTGAGCTAGTCCTCAGGAGCTGGGCGCCAGATGTGACCGGGTCAGTGTAATTAGTTCTTCTGCTGTTCTCACAGGCTCTCCACCCTGGCTTTGAAAGTGTCTCCTGGAAACACAGCATTGAAATAGCCCAAGAGCCACGCCACGGTAGCAGGCTCTGTATAACCAGCCCCTTGGCCACTGTGCTTCTATGAGATGCAGCTTCGGTTTTCCATCTTCAGCCTCCTCCCCCAGTGCTGTTCAGGCTCCTAGCGGCCCTCTCTGTTCCTTAGGGAAATCCTTCCATGCTGTGGCTCTGTGTGTGCTGTTGAAGAAATCCCAGAGGAGACTCAGCCCCTGCAGCCACTCTGCAAGCAGCTGTCTGCAACCTTGAAAGGTCCCCGGCCACATGCATCACTGTGCTTCACCCAGATAGCGTGGATGCTTCTCTTCCAGGATGACAGGAGCACACACTGCTTCTTGTGTAACAGTGGTCCATTTCTATGTTTTTCAAAGTCCTGTATAAATTCTCAATATTATACTTAAACACAGATTTTGTGCCAGCAGAATGGGGGTCAACACATAGTCTCTATTTTCTAATTTAATCTTTCTCCTTTGTCCAGTGATGACTTTTTAAGGAATTTGCCTATTCTCCCCCTAAAGCTATGAAGGAAAGTTCAGATGGGAGAGCAGAGTGAAAGAGAAATAAAAGGAAGAGAGCCAGATGTGTTGGCGTACTCCGGTAATCCCAGCACTCGGGATTCGGGCCTCAAATTCGAGGCCAGCCTGGACTACACAGTGAGTCCGAGGCCAGCCTGAACTACCAAGCAAGATCCTGTCTCAACAAACAAACAAACAAATAGGGAAGAGAACTCTCAACTCTTAGACTTCAAGAAAAATTTTTGCAAAATAATTGAATGAGTTGGTCCCAAAGCCTCAGAAGGTTCTCAGTCTGTCTCCCAGTGAACTGGGAAGAAGTGTGGGGACTCTTGCAGGGGTGCAGACCTCCCTTTTGAAGGTGGAGTGTAGCAGTTATGGGCTGCATAGAAGCTGCATAAAGGCAAAATAACCCAACCCTAGCCCCACCCCAAGGAACACTCAGAAGACAAGTCAGTAGAGTCCTGAGGCTACCTAGTCACCAGTGACATCCAGTGTGTCACCTTTGGCCCTTTCCTGGTTGGAGTGAATGTCCTTTTAGACCTGGGACATCCTCCTTAAGCACATCTGGCCTGCCTTTGGGTGACCTAAAGAGGAAACTGAGTTGTGTAACCAGACATTTTTCCTATTCAGCCACCTCCATGCTTGTAAAACAGACCTGAGGAACTGCACTCACACTAAGAAATCAGCAATCTTTATCTATCTCTTCAGGAATCTTTTTGTCCCTGTGAAATCAGAAATTCTGACCACAGTGGAGTCAAGCATGCACTTGGCTAGTGCCTGAGTCAGAAGTCGGGGCCTGATAATTCCAGTCAAGCAAGGGCATTTCCATTTGACTTACCAGGATTGTGAGATGATCTTGGCCTATAATTCATCAAATAAAACTAATCCTATTCCCTAAGCACAATTCGCACCCTTGATTTATACACATAATATATAAATTTATTTGCTATATTGCAAGTGATTGATGTACATGAAGTGCTCAGTGTATCGCTTAAATGTCAACAATCAGGGCACAGGGGTGAGGCACGTGGTAGTGAGGCTTCAGTTTAGGGAACCAAAATAATTCTTGTTACTTGATTGGAAAAAGGTATAATACTCAGAATCATGAGTGTTTAAAAAACCCCTGGAGGAACAGCCTTTGGCTGTGATTCCTGGAATGACCCTTGGAACAGTGAGAATCACCACTGCCTGTAAGGTCACTGCTGGGGCCAGGCCAGGCGGGGTATGGCTGATGCCCCAACACATCAAGACTTGAGCTGATATCAGAGCAGGGACCCTGGGAAAGCTCTTGGAGAAATCCATGACCTCTCTGAGCCCTCAACAAAAGAGAAGCCACAGGAAGGGGCCCAACCCCAATCCTTGCCAATCCTGCTCACAAGTCAGCAAACTTGTCCTGTACAGGACTGGAGAGTAAACAAGTACTGGCTTTGTAGGCCAAAGTTTCTGTCACAGTGATGCCATTATAGCATCAAAGCAACCATGGAGAATGTGTGATAAATAGAAACCACAGGAAGCCAGTGCGTGGGACCAGGCTACTGCACTAGGCCCCAAAGACCAATATGAAGTTCAAAATAGAGTCACTCACCCTGAAGCTCCACATCACCAAACTCAAACTAAATCATTGCTAACCTTCTGGGAATTCAGGGATTATGAAACAAATTTTTCCAAAAAGCCAGTTTTAACTGGCATGATAATAAATGTCTTCTCAAAGAAAATGTCTTCTCTTTAATTGTAACCCACCCCCCTTAAAAAAAATGACCTAAGGAAAGCTGATGTCAACCAATCAGTTATTTTCCTATTGTTCTGTCTCCCTGCTCCTGCCTTTCAAGGATGATAACTTCAAAATGAACAATCTGCCCCTTGTTCTCTGCATCTGCTTTATTCAGACTTTTTCTATTTATAAAACCAAACTTTTCTACTCAGCTCACCAGAATATTTATTCTATTTTGTGGAATGGACTGTTGCCCAATTCTAGAATGGCAAATACAGCCAATTAAGAACTTTATACTAAACTGTTATAATTTTGTCCTTTGACAGATCTAAGCAGATGAATACTTGGTGCTCCTGTTTACAAAAACAGATGGAGAGGCAGATTTGGTCCATGGGCTATTGTTCACCAGTCCCTGCTGTGGTCAATCTAAATGGAATCTGGCTGAC